AGGAGTAACTCGTCCCGTTCGAATTTCCCGCGCTCAGGCGGGCCTGGACTTTGCCGCGAGTCTCGGAGGACTCGCGTGCTGGCGAATCGGGTTCGAGCGCTTCCGGTTCCGGAGAACGGTGAAAGCAGCGCGCGTCGCGACGGCCATGCAGAGGAATTCGCAAAGACCGGAAGAACAGTATCGTTTCCGCGGTCATCCGATGGCGAGTACAGTGTGTGCTCGTCGCATAGGTTAATCCTTGGATCATCGCCTGCGCTGTTATCGCAGCTGCTACTCTCGCCGTTCGTTACGTAAAGCTACTCGCACGGTCGCAGCGTTACCTCTATTTTTAGCGAAACTTATGTCACGTTATCCTACGCGTGGCGAGTACTTTCTTTTCCGATAAAAACCCATTCAAAGTTTGCCCGCCTTTCGGCTATTCCTGGAGCTACCGGCAGCCTTGCCCTCGACCACCGCCTTTTAAAGCGTTCCGCTTTCAATGCGCGCGAAGGGGCTCCGAAATAGGCGCTTAAACGCCGGCTCGATTATCCGCAGGGTAAAGAAGCCTGCCTTTTTCTTCGAGACACCACCTCCCTTTAGCGAGACGTCTTTTGCCGGCTAGCAAAGTCGCTTCCGCCGCGTACGTCTTAACCCCGAGCTCAGGGTGCGCACCCTAATCGAATTTTTCTCGCGACCGGATCGTTATTCGCGGCTGAGTCGGGACCCCAGTCTGTGTCAACCTGGACACCGCGTCTTTTCCATTGGAAAGTCATCAATCTTCGATTTGCGGTCCTCTAGCGACGGGATCGTTATTCGCGACTGATCGTGAGTCGGGGCTCCAGCCCGTGTCGACCTAGAGAGCCGTCACGTGTGAGAGCCGTGAGTCGTAGACAAGGCCGAACGTAATTTAGATTATGAGTTACGGCGGAAAGCTGAGAGGTGATAATCTCGTTGGATCTCGTTGGATCTCGTTGATTCCGACGAGTGATTTCGGTCGGAGGCGCCGGGTCGTCATCCCGGTTTCGAAATGTCTCCTCGTCGGTCATTGTCGCGGTTCTAATCCGAAACGTCTGTAAGGCGAGAGCAGTCGTGGTTGCAGACTGGCTGTAACTCGAATGGAAATGTGCCAAAACCCGTGCTAATGCGGGACCGATCCGTGAACTAGGCCGACGGACAATATCTTTAGTAATTAAAATCCCTGCAGTAGCCTCCGTGTTCTATCACCGGTTCTCCATCGTGTCGCGTCGGAAAAATGTCCTTCCTCGTTCCTTTCGGATTAGACCCGATTAATTTCGTTCTTCGGGCATGGATCATCGAGATCCAGGATACTCGTTTGTACTTGCGTGTCTTCGTTGCCATTTCTTACGGGGCTTCAAAAATCTCGGAGTTTAGTTTTGGCGGAGGTATCCGGCGTTAGATTTAGCGTTAAACACCTTAGCTGTGCTCCTCCGAGGATTAATCGCGTGGATTACGATGAACGATATCTCGATACGTTTCCTTCCTAGAAGAAAGGTCAGTTTTTCCGATCGTGACTAGAGAAAAGGTTCTCAGAATTTCTCAACATCCACATCGTAGACGCCCATTAGATTTCCTGGGTCCTACTCGAGGAACGCGAATACTCAGCGGTGAAAACGCAGAAGGAACGTGCGTAACTGCTTCCGTGAGACACGTAGGAGTTCCGGGCCACGAAGTAATCGTACCAGTTGTGCGTCTCCCACGTTAACTAAGCGTCGTGGGACCTCTAATAAGGAGTAGCGGGATCCTCCATCGCGAAACAAATTTCTTCCGACTTTTTAGATCCCGCATCTCTAGCGTTCGTCGTCCGATCCGTAGTATTTAGGGAGACGGGGCGACCTCGTTGCACAGCTCAGCTGTTGCATCGGCTCTGCCTAGTCACGATTCCGCGTAGCTTTACGTAAGAGAGGTCGGTCGATTTTCCGGGTACGAATTTCGAGAAGATTCTGCCCACCTTTCATCGCGTTCGGGTTCGATGACGCACAGATGGATCATTCCCGATCCGTGACTTGGGCCTGACTTGGGTCCGGATTCTGACGCGAGAATACCCACGTCACTCAGATTTTCGCGTACCTTCCACGATGCTAAACCGACCATACTCTAATGGACCGAATATTCTGATATTCTATATTTTCTGTTTGTATTAAAAATTCCGCGCTTCTTCTCGACGCTGTTGCTTTGGTGGATCGATTTTAGGGGTCGGGGAGTACCCGAAATCGACTCTGGTACCCGACTCGGTTTCGGAGGCGAAGAGAAGTCGAAACGTAAGTTTTCGAATTCCTGATCCGACTTCGGGTACCCCACCTGACTTCGAGTACCCGAATATTCGCGGTTCCTGATCTGATTCGAGCTTGAAATCGTGAGAATTCACCCATCCTTACTCGACTTTTCGATTTTTCGACATTTTTCTTTACTCCATCTTCTTTGAAGCTCTCTTTTCCTTTGTTTCCACCGATCAGGTCACTTGATCGATCATGACAGGTTTACTATTCGAGTAAATTTATTTGGTGTTAGAAATGGTTCATTTTCTCTGCGTAAACGGTCCCTCGAACGTGCAACGCGAAAGCTCGTAGAAAAAGTTGTGACACTGATCAAGAAATTCTGTCAGAGGCTTCCGCCATTTTCGGATAGCTGGGCCGAACAGGCGTGGATCGCGCGGGCGGAAATCGATACAGTTTCGGGCTTCCCGAAGGCCATGCGTGCGCATGAAAATTAATAGACCGCCATTATTTGGCCTAGTGAATCGAGTAAGTATTCCGTTCGTTCGTATCTAGTACGACAGCCCGTCTCTCGAAAAGAATAGGTACTTGAGTGATGCACCATTTACCATGAGGGACGCCTTGGAACGTTCAATGACGACGGACTCCGATGACGTTCGGAACTAGTGCCTTCGAGGCTTCCTCGTCGATTACTCCACCCCGAATTCGTTCGCGGCAAGGACAAACGGTGACTTCCGCTCCGGTTATTACTTAGCATCGCAACGTTTCAGCGACTCCTCTCGTCTTCGTCTCACCGATTACTCCCTGGTTTCGTAACATTCATCCGCGGCGCTCCTACGTTAATAAAGAGCAAGTACGTACCATCGAGGCAACTACAACCCCGCGAGTCGACTCGCCTCCCCGTAAATGCACGTCAAACGAAGCTCCCCTCGGTGGCAACAGAGGCCTAGCCTCCTACTAGCTTTCCGTGCGGGAAAGGGGATTTTTTGAGCCGGTGCCAAACGCGCGAATAAAATAGCGGGTTCGTACTCGTTATCTCCGCGAGATACACGCGCCAAGTTTTACCCTTCGACGAGATCGCAGAGTCAAGAGGAGGAGGAGGATGGAACGAGAAGGGGTGTCCTTTTCATTCGGCGAAGAGAAGGGGTCGCGACGACGATGTCAACGACGACGACGGTCGAATCGCTGGTATACCTCGAGGACGTCGTCGTCGCAGCAACCCGTCCGGTGCAAAGAGCATGACGGAGCTGGTTCGAGACTTTCATCGAACCGACGATACCCGATGCCGTGGAAATACCGCGAGCTGCTCGTCCCCTCGATTTCCGAATATTTGGCCGCGGGCCAAGCCCTTCTCATCGGACGAGCCGTGTCCCGAGCCGCGACATCGGATACGTATTAATGGACAAACCTCATCAACGCTCTGTTAAAGACGCGTTTAACGATGCCTCGACCCGACACTGGCTCGCGCCTTCTCCTAGCCTCCCTTTGCTGCTCATAAATCCTCTCGACAACGAACCCGGCCTCGCCAACCCCGAAACGCGGTGGGTAATTGGCTCGGCATGTGCACACGCGATATCGCCAGCTTTTTATCACGCGCTTTCGCGCCTTTTATCTCGTATCGCGAGGGAGTAACTCGTCCGATACCACGCGGATTCGCGAGTCCTTGAGAATCCGTTCTTGCAAAGTCCAAGTGGAGGTTTAATTAACCCGAATTGTCGGGAGCTCTCCGGCAAGCCGACTCGCGAATCCTCCGATCCTGTTCCGATAAAAGGCTTCCATTCGGGATTAGACATTTCCAGTTCCTGCGAGAGGGATGGTCCGATATCGTCTCTCTTGTACAAATACCGTTTCCGACCCGGACTCCGCTAGCTAAGAACGTGGGTTTGCCGGGATAATCTTGGCGACGAGGCCAATAACAGGCTTCCTCTTCTCCCAGAGTTCCCACCCTTCCTTCTTTTCTTCGGCAAAACGGCAGCGCGTCATGGAATATACCAACCCGTATTCCTGCTGACGCTGGTATAAGAAACTGGGAGTTAATATCTCGCTTTATCGATTTCGTGTCACGCTAAACTGCTTTCTGTCGTCGGTGGAAGCCATACCCGTGTCCCTTCTCCGGGTCTCGCAGCAGGGAACGTTCCTTCTGGTTCACGGTCGCAACGTTATCGCGCACGCGACCAGAAAAATCAATCGCACCCCATCGCTCCGAGCCAAACGGCGTGTTACCTTAATCCCCAAAATGAAATTCCGCGACCAAGAGTGCCTCTGCGCGTATAGGCGAAAGGGACGACGTGGGAAAAAATGTGCAGGTCGGCGGAACCGAACGGGAAGCTCGCTGATTCGCGTCCGTGTGGCCGATTGAGAGGCGTCAGCGAGGGAACTGGAGAGGCGAGGTCGATATTCGAGGAATCCCTGCGACGAGGCAGCTCCTTATACCTGCTCGTGCATTATCTTCCGTTAACTCCCGTGCATACCGTTATCCATTCCTCGCGTTTGCAACCACCAGCTGTACCGGTCGGGCTGGAATTCGCGTAGGTCTTGATCTCCCACGATCCAGAGAGTGCGCGCGCGCACCTTTACTCTTACTTTCGCCCAACGACCTGCCGTTGATCGCCGATCCAGTCGCCGATGGTGACACCGTCGATTCCTGCCTGTCCACCGTATCCACCGTGTGTTATCTTATTTTGTAGTACCCTGAAAGATCCTAGATGAAATAGACGAAGTTGGATGGGTCGCATTGGCGTTTGATACGTTACCAGAGTATACATGACTTTGTCTTTCTGTTCACAGACCATGAAGTGAGAGCATCGAGTTTTCTTCAGGGATGAACTCCTGACGCCAGGGCAACGTCTGTCACCATGATGGAACCGCCAGTTACGAGCAAGGTCCTGCGGGCTCCTAACCTGAAGAGAGGTCAGGAGAACGTGCGGATTCAGGACAGGGTGAGTGGAAGAGTTTTCATTCATCGTAGCCACTCTTTTGGCACCCGCTCGCGCGACCAAGCTTTTACTCCGTTATCGTGCCTTTAACTTTCTTCTTAAATAACTTTTAATCCGCCGTGAAGATCGTTTTTTCTCTCTCGCCAGTCTAATAGCAACCTACTTGCGAGCCACGAGAATGTCGTGCTTCGATAGAACGGTCTAGAAAATTAGTTTGAACCGCGTTGCATTAAAGTGGAAAGTTCTCTTTGACTAGCCGGCGTGCCTAACACGCGCGTTCGCTCCCTTCTCCGCTCGCTTTTTACTTCTGACATTCAGAATTTCCGTCCAAGGATGCGCGATCTCTCCATTTTCTTAACCTCTTCGACGCGAACGCCGTCTACGCCGTATGTACATTTGTAGTCGTAAGGGAGAATGTCGCGTGTCCCATTTCCTTTTTTCTAAAAAATATTATCGTTTAAAGTTTCGAACCCTTGGTACATTCTCGTTTTTCGTTTTACCTTTTTTTTTCCGGTAAATATGTAGCTCGTAAATTTGATAGATATGAACATCGAGACAAAGAGGTTAACTTCCCGCACTTTTCATTATTCTCCAATTTTCTTGCCAATAATTCCTTATTATCTGCAACCTTTTATTTTGAAACGTAATTAAAGTAATTAAAGTAATTAAAGACAGTAGATAGGAAGCGAGTTAGATAAATTTCGTTTGCTACTTGCTTGGATAACGTTGAAAAATGTCAAGCGTGATTGGAAATGGACGTGGCGTGACGGTCGACGGGCAAAGGAATTTTTCAAAGGGTTAGATTCGGTCGATATCGTCGACCGAATCTTCTCTCTATCGATATAGCAGTGCAGCCGCTTAACCGATTAATCCGTCGAAACGGAAAGCGGGAACGATCGGCGGAACAGATGCGTGACGACACACGCGGCCTCTGTATAGAGCGGCCGGTGTGCGGCTGACACCGGCCGAGACAATAGTCGCAGCCCGCCCATGTCGATTCCACGATACTCGCCGGATGCACATTATGCATCCCTGTCGATACAGCAGCCCCGGATTGACGTCATCGCGATTCTCCTTTTTCCGAGGACTCGTGGACGACTCGGCCGGGCTCGGTTCGGTTCGACCGTGGCGTGTCTCTCGATCAGCCGGTCCTTGTGTCTTGTTCTCGCGGTGTGTCAGGTATGCGCGAACGTGGGCGGTACGTATCGTCGCGGTGCACTGCTGCGCGCTGCTGTTGCGCACGCTGCACTTGCAGTCCGCATTCCGCGTCCGGTCGCTTCTCGAGGTCTCCGAGTCTCGTCGTCCCTTCTCGTCTCGTCTCTTCGCTGCTCTTTGTGGAAAATTCACCGTTCGCTTCCACGCCACTTTCCCTCTCGATCGGGTTCCTGCTCGTGGATCGGATTACGTTGTCCGCGCGACGCGTGCGCCTGCACATGCCGCTGTTGCCTTCGTTACATCAGCTCTCGCGTAACACTCTGTTCCTTTTTTCTCTCGCCTCCGCGTGTCGCCTTTTATCGCGATCGACGCGGATGCTTCCGTCTCGGGAAGGATGGCGGACGAAGAGTAGACGGAAGAGAGGTTATTGGTTGTCCTGCGATGGTAACGATAGTCGTGATGCATGGAAGTATACGGATGACGAAAGAGATAACATTCGAGGAAGAAAAGTTATTCGTTTTTGAAATTCAAATTCGAAACGTGCGACGACTGTAACGTAGATAGATGGTTCGTGGCCGTTCGAACAAGTGGTCGTCGGTAAGCGGACGATCTTCTTTACCGTGCGATCGATGCTCCGGGGGATTACGACAACAGGCGCCCCCTGCATGTCGAATCGCATACCGCGAAATGTTACGTAGACGTCAATCAAAGTTAAGTATTCGAGCTCCGCGATGTGATTGGAATGATCGATCTGGTACGTACGTCTATCTTTATCGCGACTAGTTGTTTTAGAAGGTCCTTTAGTTAAATTTTGTTCAACGATTCGAACCTTTTTTTTCTCGCTATTGCGTTGCTTCGTAATTTCGTCTACGACCACGTCGATACGTGACCGTTTAGAAGAATTAAAGAGGGACAAAAACGAAGGTCGGATTTCTCTCGCGAGTATAGCTCTCGAAAGTTCGGTCCGCTGTTATTCGTAAACGACAAAAAACGTTGCACGCCCACGCGAGTTCCGAAATCGCGATTGTGTGTAAATGAATGCGTGGGTGGGCGGTTGAGAATTATCGGTTCTACGTTCCGTCCTCGCAAACTTTTCCAAGCAGCAACATGGCTTTGCTTCTATCGGGGTCAAATTTCAAATTACCCGCATCTGGCGTCGCTCGGGGGAAACATCTAACGAAATCGTAATTATCGACGCTACCGATTTCGGTGACAACGTTTAACGAAATCGTAATTATCGACGTTGACGATTCCCACGAAAACAAGAAATAAACGTTATTCGCAGTCGTTAATTACGGAACACCATCTCAAGGCCTTAACTGTTTCCCTGCTCGTTGACATTGACTTTCAAACGGTCTCGCTCTGGGGGAATCTCCGAGCGAAAAATCGGAAGCTGGTTCCGAATTCGGAACTCGTTTTAACCTGACCAAGACCTCGGCAAATTCGTGCGAGACGTAGTTGCGGAACAGGTGTACCCGGTCGCAGCTGGTGCGGATCGTTGACCGAGGTCGACACACTTTAACCAGCGAACCCTCTGCTTTTACTTTTTACCGAAAGGGCCAATGCTATCGGTCGTCTCGTCCACGCAATCGGTAACCATACGTTTTTATTCCAACCTTCAATTTTTCTATTCGATCCAAGAATATTGAAAATCACGTCGATTAAATTTCAGACGGTAACGTAATTTTGGGTGATTATCATTTTCTCGCGTTTTGAAACGTTGAACCCGGCTCGGCGGAATCGGAAGCCCGCGGGCGGCAGAAAAAATCGGTTAGCCACCGCTAGATGGGACTTCCTGTTTCGTCTAACGGTACGACGTTCTTCCTCTACGCGTCGCTTCTATTGATCCTTTCATTTCCGTTCCGACTCTCAATTAATTATCCGATCCGGTACTTCGGTTTGAAAGATACTCGCGTGTCAGTTCTTTTTTCTTCTCGATTTTTATTTTGCGAAGTTGTTCCTTTTCCTGTAATTTCTTTGAAGAGATGACCGCTTCGGATTTACGAGGTGAAGCGTGTATAAACATGGCGAACGAAATACGTACAGCGGATCGAAAAAGCATCGGCGTGCCTAATTTTATACAAACAGGTAATAGGAGTAAAAATTATTTCAATTAACGATCTATTATCCATAGAGATAATTGAAAGGAATATCGTACAATAGTCAATCCCGTTTTATATACCTAATTGTATTCGAATTGAATATCCGATATACAATACCTATTGTATATGCGAATTGAAGTTTATAGTAGTGTAAACATTTCCAATTTTTCGTCAAAATTTATTAATTTAATTTTATTGTTGAATCCATTTCAGTGGAATGAGAAATATCTCGTTCACAGTTTGGTGATATACAATCTAACCTATCCTTGGGAAAAATGAATTTGGAAGACCACGAGCTGATCCTAGCAAAATCTGTCTGAATATATATGTTATAAACTATGTATTCAGCAGTATTATAACACACATTCGACTCGCACGAGGTGTACCTTCCAAGTGTCGTTCTTGCTCGCATATGTGACATATAAATCGAAGCACATGCATTTTCAAATTTCCTAACCTAAATAGGACAAATGTTGCAATTGAAACAATCGATAAAACAGATTTCCATCTTCGACGCGTATTGATTATTTCTGCAGAAGCTTCAGCGCTGTATGTAAATTATTCAATTTCTTGCACTATTTTCTCGTTGTATACTAAAATTATTTTATTATTAAACAAATTAGACGTTTCTCGATCCACGGTGTATTACAGTGTACGGATGTTTGGCAGTGGCTTCGGATAGGCTTTTAGTCTATTACATGTTAGGTTAATGGGTAATAAGGGACACACCTTTGCTTGCTGTCGGCCCTTTCGCGCCCTTTTCCGTTCTACTCCTCGCGTGCAGTCGGTTTTAATAAAATGGCTGCTTATCACGCGACCGTGTCCTCGCGCCTCGTTCTTTATGCACGATTTTCGAAAGATAGCACACGTGCCGCCTGTGTTTCGCCATCCCTTCGTCCACGGTTCCAGTCTTATCTCGTTTAGTCCATTTAAAAGAGACGTATGTCGCTCGTGTGCAGGTGTGTAATTAAAAATGCCTCGATTACCCGATTGAATTTCCACGAAGCTCGAGGCGGCGTGACCAAATGCTTTTAAATTGATAAATAAATGTGTGATTTTATCGTTGCATGTTTTTATTTTCTTTTTTTTGGATTTATTTACTTAACTGAACCGGTGTAAAAGGCTTTTCTCTTGGCGCGTGGAAAGGGTAGGGTGCACGTAACTGCGGGCACGGGCGTGATTGATACGTATATGGGCGGAACGCGATACGATCGCGGAAAAAACGCGAGTTCAAGGCGTAGAGCTGGAAAAAAGGAGGAAAAATGACCGAGGATGGGTAAATGGATTAGAAATGTCGACAAGTTTGCTAGAAAAAGAAATTTATGTTAACACTTTGACTGCCACGCACTTTTTACATAGTACGTTCAGGGGACCAAGTAGAAATTTTTATTATTCTTAGGATATAATGACGGATTATCGAGCAGTATGGCAAAAAAAGAAAAAAAATGGTGCAAATTATTAATGTTTTTTATTTTAAATTTTCTATTTGTTCAAATTGCTCCAATTTTCGAAAAGATGGTTAAAATAAGTCAAATATAAATTTAAAAAATTAGTATCGCTGAAGACTGGTGATCGCTATGGCAGTCGACGTGTTAACTGAGTAATTATTCGCTAGTTATTATATGTATATATTATATAATTATTAATAATTATTAATTACTATATGTCTATATATCTATATATTCATATTTTTTGGCGTGGAATTAGCTGATATATACGTTCGTATTGTACATGTCTTCCCGGGAC